TTTGTTCTAGTTAACAGTACAATTAATAAAATCAGATATGTAAACAAAGTATAGAAAATTACCACGATTTGTTCACATGCAAAGGCAGAGGAAGATTTACTTGAACAAAACCAGCCTTCATTAAAAAAAGATGTAATTACACAGAAATTCCAGTATCTAAGCTTTTAGACCATAACAACTATTATAGTTGTGAATTGAAAAGTGAACAAAGACTGGAGAAATCAGCCATTTAGCTAAGAACTAATAAAAAACTGAGTTAGTCAGATGACACCAAAAACAAAGGAGAACAAAGTCACCTGATACAAGCCAGCACGTGGCTTTAAAGCACATTTTAGTGTATTCTGGGCAAGAACTGTTAATGCCACAGACCGACAAGCCTAATTACTATATACTTGTATATACTTTTTTTGTTTTAAAACTTTCTCAAATAACCACATAGAATTTCAACAGTCAGCTATGCACATTGAAGAGGGAAAGATGAAAAGCATTACCAGAACAGATTACTAGCTTTCCACATCTGGCAAAAAAACCCGTATATAGAATAGCTACTACCACTTGTGCAGTAATGGTTAAACGATTACTAAATATTTCTTGTGCAAATGATTAGCATAAATTTGTACTTTATCAAGAGAATCCCAGCAGGCAGTACCAGCTGGGAATCAAGTAGTACAAGTCCAAGCCATACATGAAATTTCCCTATACTGTTCACAGGAAAGACAAAACCTGATAACAAAGTATTTCAGGAGTCTTTAATGCAGCTCTCTATCTCTGAACCAGGCAAGGCAGCGTGGCAGAAAGAGCCCGATCTCCAAGCGTCACCCTGCACACACAACTGCGTGCTGCTGATAACTGAGACCTCTTGAACACGGGGAGGGTCACAAAAACCAAACCAGGGTGTTTGGGCAGCAACCTCAATGGCACATCTCTGCAATACACTTCTAGTTCTACTAACACCCAAATAGAATCACACAATTAATTACGTTAGAAAAGACCTCCGAGATGATTGAATCCAATCCATGACTGAATACTATCTTGTCAACTGGACCATGGCACTACGTGCCCCATCTAGGCTTTCCTTAAACACTTCCAGGGGTGGTGACTCCAACACCTCTCTGGGCAGGCCATCCCAATGCCTAGTAACCCCTTTCTGGAAAGAAATTCCTCTTAGTATCTAACCTATAGCCCCCCTGGCACAACTTACGACTGTCCTCTCGTCCTGTCGCTTGTTGCCTGGGAGAAGAGGCCGATTCCCACATGGCTACAACCTCCTTTAATGTAGTAGTAGAGAGTAATAAGGTCACCCGCGCAGACACCATGGCACTCGTCCAGGTTAAACACCACCAAACTCCCTCAGCCGCTCCTCACAGGACATGCACTCCAGACCCTTCCCCAGCTCCGCTGCCCTTCTCCCCACGATGCTGGCCTCGTGAAAAAAGAACAGAGCCCAAGCCAGCCCACCCAACAAAGCAAGAGTCAAGTTACGGGTGGGACAAGCGGACAGGGGCCGCTCCCACAGTGCCCGAAGTCAGGGGAGTTAACACAAGTCCGACCTCCCGGCAGCTCCCGAGGGCCCTTTCCACAGGGAACCGGCCCCGGCTCTGTCCCCACCAGGAGCCGGCTTGGGCTGCACAGGCCCCGGGGAGGCGGCACCCAGAGGTGAGCCCGGCCCGGCCCGGCGCTGACCTTGGCGGAGGTCGGGGTCCTGCAGCACGTCGTGGGCGCGGTAATCCTCCACGCCGTGCAGCCGCAGGATCTGCACCACGGCGTTGCTGAAGC